GTGTATTATGCATATATACACATATATGTGCATATGTTTGTATGTATTGATATATACTGATCTCTCTTTCTACCTGTACTTTATCTCTATCTCTCTATCTATTTCTATCTCTCTCTATACCTATACCCATATCTATCTTATAAAGAAAGCAATGAACTACACAGGAAATTTTTCACTGAGAAACTAGCTTCAACTCATAAAAAAACAATTAAAACTTTAAATTATACCTTTAAAATCATAGTTATTACGTAATCTAAAAAAAAATACTTCCTCCTCCTACCCCTGAACCAAAAAAAAAAAAAAAAAAAAAACCTTATCTTCAGGTTCCTGACTGGACTATAAATTTTCTCACTGGACCACCTAAACGTCAGTAGGATCTGTGTTTTCAAGAGGTACCTGTTGAGAAATCTGGTGTTAACAGCCCCCAGATTCCGGTCTAAAAAGCCTCTAAAACTGAGTTCATTAATATTTTTTTATAACAACCAGCCCTTCTATAGGAAGAGAAAAATAAATATTTTGCCATAATTCCAGGCACTATTTCTCTTAATCCTTTCTCTCTCTCCCTTTCTGTCTCTTTTTTCTCTCTCTCCCCCCCTCTGTTTCTATAACAGAGTGCCTGATCCTAAATAATTGATAAAGGAAGCACACAGTCCAAACAGCATGGGCAAGAACTCTGAACACTTCATAACAACAGATAACACTTCATAACAGCTTCATGTGTCAGAGGGGAGGGTAAGAGGGGGAGGGTAAGAGATTGAGGCGGTAAAAACCAGGCCAAGCAGATCAGATAGCGAGAAGAGAACAGTGAGAAGTCAGGGTAGCTTTCTAAGTAACACCTGCTCTTGTGAGAACCAATCCAACCCCTCAAAACCTAATGTAGTCTCCAGAAGGCTAACATAGTCTCTCAACCAAAAACATGAAGCCATTATTAGGCTCAGATCCCGTAACTACACAGACCTCTTAAAGCACTCGCCCCTCAGTGTAGTCACACTGAGGGATTAAGTCTCAACTGAGTGTGGGGGAGCAAACCACATGTATATTATAGCATTAGTTTAAAGTGTGCTGAATTAATGAATTATATATTTTGAACTCCAACTTCCCTAAAATTTTCTAATGGTTTCCACAAACATATACACATATTTATGTGTGGGGACAAAAGTATTCCTGTGTGAAAACTGTAAATGTCAGAAAATGTGCTATACTGGCACCAGAACACTTCAAATGTATATGTTGAGGCTGGAGAGATGGCTCAGTAGTTAAGATCACTGGCTGCTCTTCCAGAGGACCTGGGTTCAATTCCCAGCACCCACATGGCAGGTCACAACTGTCTGTAACTCCAGTTCCAGAGGCTTTGGCACGCTCACAAACACATGCAGGCAGAACATCAGTGAACATAAAAAAATAAATAAATCGTTTTTAAATGTATATGATATGAAGTCAGAAAATTACTGTTGGAGTATTTTATGAGAACAAGCCTTCGAACAGTATAGCAATGCTCTATGGATTAATTTTCCTACAAATATGAATATCAGTCCTATTTTAGGGTACAAGAAAGATTGTCCAAAGAAAAACAAGCAAAACAGAAATCTGTGTATGTTGGGAAAATCTGCACACACAAAAAAATCATTATGATGTAATTAAACCATGAATACAACAAAGGGGTGAGTTTTACACATCTTGAGTTTAAGAAACTGTTTGGTAAATCACAGACCTGAGTAAGCCTCTGAGAATAAGTATGTGTCTTTTTTTATACCTAAAAGCAAACTTTCTATTATTTTGATGTATATTATAATGGTTTTCACAAAAAAATATGCTCTAAACCATTATTTTAGGTCTTCACAGAAAACTTTCTAAAGTGTTGCAAAACTTAACATAAAATTCTCACTTAAAATGAAATTAAAGTATTTTCCATTTTCCACATACATGCAAGACTTATCACCAAAAGAATAAGGTTGTTGCGGTCTCAATGTTAATAATGCCCTACTATGAATTCATGGTAAAAAGTAATATTTAAATACCCCTGACCTAACTTAGGTGAGAGCAAATTACCAGGAAATGCTTATACTTTTTAAATTCACATTGTATCTTCTTCAGATGACTAATGTTCTTTTTAAACTTACTCTTATCTACCATTTTGCTTAATCTTCAAAAGACATTTAAAAAGGAGTAAATGTGCTAAATGGAGTAAGGCAGTAGGCTTCAAAGCATTGGTGAAGGCTATAAGCTGCAGATATTTAAAAAAAATCAACAAAAACAAACAAGCAAACAAATCCACAGAGGTCTCCACACAAGCCATCCAAAATCTGGCTCATTTGATTTTGAGATATGAGTCTTAGCAGAGGACATGAAGGGATCCCAACCAAAGCCTGCATCACACATGAAGAGGTTCTATGAGGGAAGAATTGATCTGCCATCTTTTGCAGGATTATAACTGGATGGGGCATGGGCAATTTACACCCCCAGCTTCCAGACAGTCGGCAAACATCACAGTTCTGGTCCACTTGGACTGTGCGTCAGCCCCTGAAGAGAAAAAGAGAAGTATCCACTGCCTTTTCCTTACAGTTTAAGACCATCAACAACAGGGCTACTCAGAGCCCATATGGCAGCTTGGCTCCCAGACACTACCGCTACACAGAAGTCAGTGCCTGACAGTCATTCTCAACACTGAAGTCCTGATTATAGGAACCTTCAGCCATAAAAATTTAACGAGAGTTGTGAGAGAAAGGATTTTTATCTTCCAGGAAAAACAGAAGATGAAAAATCATATTCAAACAAAATCATTTGTTTAAAAATTCTTTGCTAGGACTAATATTATTATAAAATTATTTTTACAAATTATACTCATACTTGTGAGTGAAATGACAAATGAATTTATTGACAACGGGCCAAAGAAAATATGGATTAAAGCCAGGTGTGGTGGCGCACACCTTTGATCCCAGCACCCAGGGAGGCAGAGGCAGGTGGATCACTGTGAGTTTGAGGTCAGCCTGGTCTACAAAGCCTGTCTAGGACAGCCAAGACTACACAGAGAAACCCTGTCTCAGAAAGAAAGAAAGAAAGAAAGAAAGAAAGAAAGAAAGAAAGAAAGAAAGGAACGAAGGAAGGAAGGAAGGAAGGAAGGAAGGAAGGAAGGAAGGAAGGAAGGAAGGAAGGAAGGAAGGAAAGAAAGAAGGAAGGAAGGAAGGAAGGAAAGAAAGAAAGAAAGAAAGAAAGAAAGAAAGAAAGAAAGAAAGAAAGAAAGAAAGAGAAAGAAAGAAAATATGGATTACAATGTATAAAACTACTGAGGCTTAGTCTATTACAAGCCAATATCTGTATGAGGTTTTAAATCTTGACTTTGAGATTTTTGGTAATGCCTATACTCACTATTATGCTACTAATAACAGCTAGACCATGAACATGGTTTCCTATTTTTGTCCCTTATTCTCCTACATGCAGCTATGCCTATACACATGAATGTAAATGTTCATAAAAACCACTTAGTAAGTGTAATCCTTAAATTATATATTCATGGAAATTATATTCCAGCACATAATTTCTGATTTTTGATTTGACATTTGGTAAATGCAGTTGATACCTGATTCTAATAAATGTTATACTTATGAGACACTTGTTCCCTGATACTGACACCATGGAAATAAACACAAGACTAAGAGGCTTGCATAGAAAAAACTTAATCAGAATCAGAGAAACTAATATAGAAAAGAAAACTATACACCCATCTCTTGGAAAGAGCTCTCCTATTATCACGCTTCCTACTTAATGTGTGTGTTTTCTCTGGCTGATTGTTAATTATAGCTAATAAAAATAGCTCATGTCTGGATTGCCAACGTCACCTCACTATCTAAAACTAAGCTATTGCAGTGAATAGCGGGAGACAAAGTGAGAGCAAGGAAAGGGAATAGAGGGAAACTACACATGAAGAATGCAGAGGAAAGTGACACGTAGTCCTTATTTAATCTACAAATGTTGCCTTTCACTCTCTTCCGGAACAAAGGAGAGAGAGACTGCTTCCATATCCCTCATCTATGCGCTTGTTTATTTTTTCATGTCTAATCCCTCATTTTCTGTGTTCAACCCATTTAAAAAATGCTTGTAGTCTAACATAATTTGTCTGTCATGTGTTGGGTATTTTTTAGGCATTGGAAAGGTAACCTGTGGGCCTAAACATTTTGTAAGATAAGTTATGGTGAGGCTGATGCAGCAGAGTTGCTTAAACCCACACATTAAAGACTCTCCCAGGCAATACAAATCTCAAGTTAAGCCCTTTCTATCTTACAATCTTTATTTATTATTATTAATTTGTAATAATTTAAAATTTTAGACACTTAACTATGTACTTTATATTAATATGATAGACTAAAGGCAGATGATTGCTTATGGTAAGGTCATGTAGGCTTAACGCTGCAATTCAGAAGGAAAATACAAGTAAAAGCTTATACGTTAAAATAGCCATTTGCATATTTATCTTGTAAAGACTTTCCACTACCTAAACTGGCCCTTGGCACCCTTCTCCTTATATGAAACTTACTATGGAGTCAATTTACTGATGGATATTTTCCACATATCCATCAAGTAAGTAAAGTCTCACTAGCTAAATCATAATATATAGCTGTAGCCTCTACTTAGCTGGATACCATCTCTACTCATTATAAAGAAGAAAAGTAAGCCATTTCTGGGTTCCGATTGCTTGACAATAAGATTGTATGTGGGGAGAAATTACCACTGTTCATGAAATCTAACCAGGCCAATAGTTTTGGATTCACAGTAATTGCATATATTTTTATTTACAATTCCTCCCTAGCAGTATGTGCCTGTTACCTAAAGCGATGGAGCAGGCCCCAGTTTTATGTCTGATCCTAAACCTGGGCCTACAGTTCAAGACATAGAGCCTACTGTGGCCTTTGCTCTGTCACTTTGCCATGCGATTCTAATGTAGTTTTACTTGAATAACATAAAATAACATATATAATGTTATTTATGTTATTTTCCACGTGAAGAACTCCTGTAAACCTTGCCGTTTTGAAACTCAGTGAGGCAGGCGTCTTAGACAAGCTGAAAAACAAATGGTGGTACGATAAAGGCGAATGTGGACCCAAGGACTCGGGGAGTAAGGTCAGTCACTGCAGTTCGGGCCTCTTCTTGTGTGTAAAACAAATCGTAACTGGGAGCGATTTTCCAAAGCTTATGACACGCTCAGCTTCTCTGTTTATATAGCCATTGCCTAAATTATAACTTAACACCATAAATTTCAGGCACGGAGACTGTCCATAGGCAATAAAACTGCTTCCCAGTAGTAAAGATTTAAAATAAATTAAGATTAACTCAAATATATATACATATATGATAACCATATTAACTAAATGAGTTTCAAACTTATTTACCACTAATGTTTATCAGTCAGGTTTTGGTTTTGGATAGAGACCGTAAAATGTGTATTTTAAAAGTTGGTTCTCAAAACAAGAAATAGGAAATTGATCAGGAGTTATCCAGAAAAAATAAATAAATATATTAAATAAAGTTCAGGGTCCCCTCACCACACTGCCAAGCATTCTACTTTAGTTCAAAGAGGCCTGTCACATTTCTGGTCTGACAGATCAGTAAAATGCACTTCTAGCTCTATTCTCTCGATAGAAATTATTTCAAAAATCAGTATGAACAGTGCATACCCACCAGTTCTAAGATCTTTTGCTCACAAATTCACCTTTACGGATTTGCTCCTTTTTATTTTACGTGCATGTTTATTCGCAGTATGTTTCTGCATTCTCAGAGGCCAGAAGAGGGCATTGGATTCCCCCCCCCCCCGGGGGGCCTGGAGTTGCAAACAGTTGTTAGCTGCCATGTGTGTGCTGGAAATAGAAGCCAGGTCCCCTGGAAAGTGTTCTTAACCCCTGACCAGTCCCTGCTCGTGAATTCTTGATAAAGAAATGCAGAAACATATAGGTTGAGTCTGCGGATTGCAACATTTATATGTTTATTATAATTAAGAAAACTATCAAGTTTATCACTGATTCAGCATACCTATACATACTAATAGAATATATGTAAGAGAGGCCAGATACACCTTTAATCCCAGCACTCAGAAGGTGTGTGTGTGTGTGTGTGTGTGTGTGTGTGTGTGTGTGTGTTTCAAATATGGTTCCTATGCCATATTTGAAGGCTTTTTAAATCTTTTTTTGAAATTTGTATATCTATAAAGAAAACAGGTTAGTGATTATCCTGAGACATTGAAACAAGTGACTGATTAACATATGTAGAGTTTCTATTAATTTTAGGAAACAAAGTCAGGCTACAGGTCGCTTTTCAGACCTTACATGTATTTAATCATTCGTGTCTGCCTTTGAACCAGAGTGGAGTGAGACATGCTTGGCCATACAAAGAAACTGTCACTTTGTGACCTGTTGTAAAGTAAGATAAAGACACATAATTAAAACCAAGTTACTTTAAAATAACAGACAAAGGCATATGTAAAGAGAGAGAGAGAGATATGCATCATTTGAATTAAATAACCTTATAACTACTGAAGAACTTGAACCACAATTTGCAAGGAAGGTATTGTGGGATATATGGGCCACAGAGCACCCTTTAGGTTGCTCTCCTAAAATCTTTTTACAATAATGCCATTTAATAATTAATAGTTTATGGCAATTCTTTTCAGTTATTGTCACAATTTAATATCTTCTAATAATCTGCTTATTTCCAAATCTAGAAATTAGTGAATACTATAGTGAGTCTCTGAAATGTAACATGCCTAAAATATTAACTATTAGATATTTTAATTGGCAATGGAATTGTAATTTTCAATCCAAAAAAAAATAATTCTAAATCTAACCATACATAAATACTTTGTTTCTAAATTTGGATGTATTTTATTAAAAACTGTCTTTAAAAAGCCAAAAGTGGTAACGCATATCTGTAATACTAGACCATGAGAGATGGAGGCATCAGGATCAGGAATCAAAGCTAGCCTCAGCTGCATAGCGAGCCAACCTAGGCTACATGAGACCCTGTCTAAAAAAAAAAACATTAAATTAAATTAAAATTCTAAAGTTTGTAGCATTACGTATATTGCTAATTAGTACATACTTATTGTGTGTTATTGTATGTTGGCTGTACAATAATCTATTACATGCACTATTTTAAGTGTATATGACAATCACAATTAATATAGTTCAGTGTGTGTATGGACACACTTGAAAGATAAGTGATGCATGCCCTAATGCCTTATCAATTAGACATACTTGATAAATTAATGATGAATACAGTATGACACTGATAACCTAAAGACCTCTAGTTTGGTAAAATTAGCAACTATAGAGTGATAACTATTCAAGAGAAATATTAAGCACTAAAATTACCTTTTAAAGCCCAAAGATTCTCTTTCCCATATTCTGAGCATGACATTTTCAAAGTCTAAAATAAGTCCTCTTCTGTCTCCTTATGTAAATATATGAATGTTTACATATGGTTAAATAAAGTGCTTTTTTAATGAATATTAAGTAATGATAAAATGTTTGAATTTTACTGAATGTAGTTTTACGTAATTTATTGGTAATTATCACAATTTTCTTCTCCCAAGAGCTTTACGTGTTATGTTTACATGTATAGACGTATATTAGTAACTTAACCCTGTAAATAACTCCTAGCTAAATTAAGCATTTACCTTAACTGGCTATTGGGAGTCTATGTGTGCCTTGACCTTTTAGATGTGACCTTCCCGTGGTTAATCGAAATGTCTTTCTCTTCTGTAGGACAAGACAAGTGCCCTGAGCCTGAGCAACGTAGCAGGCGTCTTCTACATTCTGGTCGGCGGCTTAGGCTTGGCAATGCTGGTGGCTTTGATTGAGTTCTGTTACAAGTCCAGGGCAGAGGCGAAGAGAATGAAGGTGGCAAAGAGTGCACAGACTTTTAACCCAACTTCCTCGCAGAATACCCACAATTTAGCAACCTATAGAGAAGGTTACAACGTATATGGAACCGAAAGTATTAAAATTTAGGGGTAGGATTTAGGGCCTGTGCCAGTGAGTGGGGGCTGCATCCTGTGGGCTGCAGTGTTGTGACCTGTCTGTCTGGTGGTGGCATTGCTTGCTTCTGATTAGAGCTTTCTATTTTTGACATTTTCAGTGCACAGTGGTTCTGTTTTTGTTGGCTGCAGATGTTCTGTTTGAAACTTTATGTTGCCGATAGATATCTGCATTGCAATGGTCAGAAACATGAAAACAAATTAGAATCGCTCCACAAAAATGATGTAAACAACATGATTTTCAGAAAATTAAGGGAAATTGAAAATCAGATCCAAAGCTTTCCGAAACAGAGACCCGCTAAATTGCTATGACAACTCATAAATGCAAAGAATAAAAGAGCAAAACATTTTAAATGATCAAAAACTTAGAGAGTTGCCTGTTTGGAAAAGGTAACAATGTTTTCTAAGAGCACAGTGCAAAAGATCAAATACTTAGTGAAGTGTGCATGAATCTTAGCTTCTAATTTACCTTGTATTTCATTGGCCATTCACTAAAACCATTAATCCACGTTGTTCATTCTTCTAACAGTAGTCTTCAGGCCAGCCCAGTAGATAGAAATGACGGGCAGAACTCTCACTATGATACACACTTATTAGATGAGATTCAACTTGTAAAAGTTACACTGAGGCATTCTAGACAATTCAGCACTTCTCCATCCAAGATGTTGTACACACACACACACACACACACACACACACACACACATTAAGGATAGAAGCATAGAAACATCACAGTGAATGAGTTATCAATGCATTTTTTTTTTCCATTTTGGATCCATATCGGCCATACTTATACACTCCCTCCTTGTCACAATAAAAATGATGCGCATTCAGGGGAGTTCAGAAAGAAGTTACCGTTCTCAGAATCTAAACAGCCACTTCTTTCCTCTAATGATCAGAAGTGGTTTTAAAATAAGACCTTAATGGATTTGGTATTACTTTTCCAAAATCAGAACTCTAACAAAACTGTTTTCTAAAATTACATATAATGGCCTAGTGAATCAGCTATTTTTTTCCGATTACATAATAAATGAGACTTTGAACCTTAAAGAGACAGCAAATGTTTGAGGCAGCTAAAAGTCAATATAACAGATATAATTTAATGATATGTATATCTGAGGTTGTCCGAGAAAACATAATTGATTTAATATTTATTGACATAAAAATTTTCTGAAGTGCATGTTATTTTCTGAAAGGAAAGGATGAAGCTATCCCTGGTAATCTAGGCTTCACTGCTTCTCTGTGTTTAGAAAGTCATGGCTGAACTCACTTGCACAAAGAATGTCAGAGGGTTATTTCTCAATTTTGAGAAAAATGAAAACACTAAACATTAGCAACTTGAGTGAAATAATTTAAAAGTTCACAGAAATATTCAAACTGAGACTGTGTCAAACTTGTTAGCGATTGTCCTTAATGTTTTCACCTTAATTTTTCCTGTGTTCCAAAATGGAAGGAAAATGTCTGACCTGCGGTATTTGAAATGGATTCTGCCATCAATTTCATAACGTATCTTATTTTTGTGTTACTAAAACTGAGCTTCTTATTCATTCCAATCATGGTATAAGTCCAAGATGGAGAAACAATATTTGGAATTTTACAAAGAAAATCAATGAATGCCATGTATTATAAAAGTCTGATAAATAGTTAAAGAAAAGAGTTAAACATTCTCAGTTTAGGTACACAGAACTTTTACATCAGCATGGTTTTTTGAATTGAAACCTGGCATTTGAGCTTTTTAAAATTTCATTTTAAATATAGACAGTACATTCATAGTGATCTAATTTTTAGCTTAAAGACAGTGGCATTCAAAGTAAGTAAAAACTATCTGTACCTGCAGAAAACATGAGAGTAAACAATTTTTATTTTACATTCAAACTGATATGTTCTTCCTCCTTTTAAAAAAGTTTGTAGAGACTGACATGGCTATTCATGGCTAGAACACTAGCATTTGAAAGGCTGAAATAAGAGAATTGCAGCAAATTTTTGGCTAGCCCGGGCTTTATAATAAGCTGTAGGCTACCCTGGACTATGGACAAAGACTTTCTTATAGGAAAAAAATGAAAAGAAATGGAAAGAAAGAAAAGAAGAGCATTTATCAACTATAATTAATAATTTGTTTATTTGTTATTATTTTAGATAATATCTAAATTAAGTAAATCTGGAACCTTTACTGCATACAAGATCTACTTGGGAGTGTGGCAAGGAACCAGGGCAATGTAGAAACATCAACACTCAGTTCCCAGTACCTATATCAGCTGGTCAAGGACACCTACCACCCAAGTTTCAGAGCATCTGATATGTGTTCTGGCCTCGGTGGACACACACAGACAAAAACAGACACACATAGACATAAGCACACTCACAGCTATAGACAGAGATACACACACTCACTGAGACACACACAGAGACATACATACATACTCACAGTACACACAGATACACACACATGCACACACACATGTTGACTTGTTTGAACTCACAGTCTTACATCTTTTTGTTAGTTTATTTATTCACTTTATATCTCAGTCACAGCCCCTTCCTTTCTCTTCTCCTGATCCTGCTCTCCCTCCCTCTTACCCCTATCCCTCCTCCCCTGTCCCTCAGAAAACGGGAGCCACCCACCCACCATCCCAGCACATCAAGTCGCATCAGGATGGAGTGCACAGTCTTATATCTTGGTTTTCTCAGCACCTGAATTAATTCAATCTATGCTACCAAAATGTTTCAAAATATTTTCTCTAAAAGCTACTGTGTTCCAAACAGCAAGGCATCTGCTAATTGGTTATTTTTAAAAACCCACTAAGAACACCTAACCATGAAAGGAAGGAAAGAACGTTTTCAGCAACTCTAATCCCAAATTTAGGCTTATATTTCTTAAATAAATCGTTTTTCTTATATCTTCCCAATGCAAACAATACTGTTTTGTGGGTATCGTTTGGTTACAACCATACTAAAGCACCCAAGATGACTGCAGTCCAGTCCACTTCTGAGTGGCCAGGTGAGACTCAGACACAGCCATGATGGAGGGATCCTTTCACAGGCTTTCATGGAGCTCAGTTTCCCCAATTCAGGCTTCTTTGCTGGTATTCTGAATTTCGGTTTCTGTGCAATTTTAAATAATGTGCAAATATGCTCACTTATTATTTATCCTAAACTATTTACAATAAGCAAAATGCACCCTTCTATCTAGAGTTCTGCAGTTTTTTATAATTTTAATTTTTACTGAAAATAGATTTTTTTTTTCCATACAATATATTCTGATCATGATCCAGATCCTTCTTACCTCCTTGCCTACCCAAATCCAACTCTCAACAAACTAAACTTTATTTGGAATTTTTTTCTGACTGTTCCTGTATTCCATGTCTGGATATTTAGCCACTGGGCAAAATATGTGCTGAGTGCCTGTTCAGGTCCCAGAGAAAAGCTGAAGTCCTGAGCCACCAAGATGGCTTAAGAGTAAATGCCCTTGCCCCAAAGCCTGATGACCCAAGTTCAATCCCCAGGACCTACATGGTGGGGAAAAAAAGAGAAGCAGCTTCTGCAGGTTGGTCTCTGACCTCCACACAAATGCCGCGGCACATGTGTGCATGCATGGACACTCACGGGCACACGTACTCACACACCCACACAATTAATAATAAATAAAGGTAGTTTTTAAAACGAAATTTTGATTTCAAGGGATTAATGGAAGCTAACCAGGTAATAGTGTCGTTTTCCCTGAAGTCCTCGTTATATGCCAAATTATCCTAAAGATAAAAGCTATTGGTGTTTCTGTAGAGTCCCCTCCTAAGGTCTCGTTATTCACATTTGACTAGTGTTAGATTCACCCTTTATTTTAATCGTAGTTAAGTAACTACACACAATTTCAGTTCAGGATTTTTGTTGTCCTCAGGATGAATGATTGTAAACATTTTCATTCCAACAGCTTCTGATGAAATCATGAATTTTATTAATATGTAACCAGCCTAACATTTAATTTCCAGAGCATCTTCAACACCGGAATGGAATTTCCTAAGGAATTAGATAAAATTTAGTTCACAATAAACAAGTGTGTTATGAGCTGCAAGAAAGCGGAGGCCCTGGTCACCTCCAAGCTTAGGGGACATCTCCTTTACCTTACTTTCCTCTTCTTAACACTGAGAGTTATTTGCTAGGAAGAATGTGGGGGCAACAAATGCACAGCAGTTAGATATACATAAACACAGAGCCTGCTTCCTCTCTGCATAGCATTATTTTTTTTGCTACGTGAGAAGTCAGAAAATGAGGATTTAATCAGTGTTCAGAGGCCAGCCACCATTCCTTCTGCATGAGAAGACCCTCCGTGACCATTCCATTCCATGCATTGTCAAATATGCCTGCCTTCAAGTGAGCCTTGCTTCAGAGCAGGCATACGCTGAACTGTTTGTCACTAACTGTGCTGTTCTGAGTCATGTCTCTAACTCATGTGAGTGAATGAAAGTGTGTGGCTAGATCTGTGTGAGGAAAACAGAAAGTGTGTGTGTGTGTGTGTGTGTGTGTGTGTGTGTGTGTGTGTGTGTG